GATGCAAGCAATGCAGAAGTGACCATCTTCACTTAGCATACAAATACTCTAACAATACAATCTGCTAGTCCCCCCCTTATACAGTGCAATGCATTTTTGTTCTTTAACTAAGGTGAGCGAGATGAAGCCAGCTACCAACGTCTATGTGAGCTGACAGCCCGCACAGAGTTCCGTCACCCTTTCCCGTCACTTCAAGGGCTTCATGAATAAAGATGAGCGAAACGCATTTACAGCTCCAGTTGTTATGTGAGCACATAATAAACTTTCTTATCTGTGTTCTTAGAAGTGACCTAAGAGGTTAACAAAGTCCGATTAGAATTACAGAAGATAAACCTCAGCTAAATTGTAATATGGTCCACAAATATCAAATCAACCCTAGGGTAAGGGAGCTAAGAGCAGCACAACTGAAATGCTGATCCAAAAATAATATTGTTAACCATGCCGTGGCCATAGAGGATTTAAAGCACAATTCCAGGAAAAAATGGAAAATTATCCCTTGCAGTAGGGTTGTGCCTATACTGCAAGTGTTACTAGTTTGTTTTGTCTAAAGGAGAGGAGAAACAGTTTTATTTACCTTATCCTCTGCTTCCCCAGCAGATGACACCCCCCCCCCCCCATGCTCCAGCAGTGGATTGTCGAATGCAGGGTTATGGAGTGCCTCTTTACATCAGGTATCTCCATCACAGTGCTCTCTTACATTAATTGCCTCCACAATACTGGCTCATGGATCAATGGATGCACTCCCAGAGACCTGGGGGGGCTCAAATATAATCTGGGGTGGGGCACAATCCCATTCCAGCACCCCCCCTAGATCCGACCTTGCTATGTGGCTTGTTTGTGTTCATGTCAAAAATCATATCCCATATCCCTGTATATTGTGTTCACTAAGATGCCCATCTAAAAGTTTTGTGAAACTCTCAATACTTACTGCTGACACCACCGATTGTGAAAGCGAGTTCCACATCCCTACTTTTTTCACCTAGGACCAGGTAGGTTTGGATATCTATTTTTCCCTTAATGAATGAAAATCATCATTTAAAACTGCATTTTGTATTTACTCAGACAAAGAAGGGGAAAAGGTCCTCTACTGGGTGGGACTTTGAAGGCACAGATTTGTAAATAGACTACTAAATCAGCAGTTAAAACATAACGTTCAATTTTATTTTATACAAAATTCCAAAAACAACCTCCTGCGCTTAAAAGGAATCCTATCCTTCAAAAGCTTCCCCTGATAAAGTCACAAGGTGGGCCTGGCGCAATGCATCGTACGTGGGGAGGAGCTTCCGGTGACGTCATTTCCGGCGTGGGGGCCATATTGGATCACCCTGTTGAGTACACCCATGCAGTACACCCAGCATGTGGTAAAAAGCTGGAAAACTCGTGGACAAATGTGAGTGTAATACTTATTGTCGTTTTATATTTGATGCAATAAAAACCGGTTGCACTATGGAGGGTCTCTGCTTGTGTCTTATCATGATCCTGTGAGGAGCTGGCTGTTAGTCTGTTGGAGGCTGGAGACGTGAGGGGAAAGCCTGAGAGGGACCCATTCTGATAGGATCACTTGATCCTCAAAGCGTGTTGACCCTGTGGGGTCTAATGAAGGAGGTGAGGGGGTATTTTGGCTGGTAAAGGATTGGCACGTGTGTACCACGTATACGGCACATTATATATTCTTGCATGAAGAGTGAAGTGTGAGGATCACCACAAATTATCGTATTATTATTATTATATCATTTTGGACTTTTTGAATTGATTATTTGTTCACTAATTTTGTGCACCAGTATACATATTGTTTCACAATGTGCAAATAGGAGCGTGTTTGTCACTTTTTTCACTAAATATTCCCCGTGAGGGAATTCACGTATGACACAACTATTTTATTATTTATGTATTGATTTATCACTTTGGATATATATATGTAGGGGATGTATATAGAGTTTGTGCATTTTAACACGTAATTGTTAGTATTACTAGAGCTACACTATTTATTTTAATCAATTTTATTTTATACAATCTTAAAAAAAAGACATAACAAGTGAAAATACATAGATTATGGCAGTAAATATCATAGGGTGTGCGACTTAGTGTTAATGATGGGAGCTTGGTCATGCAAATGTTGCAACTGATGCATTTCGAGACTAAGCGTCCTCTCTTCCTCAGAGGTGCCCAAAGAGGCATGACATTTAGCCCCATGTAGGGTCAAAAAAAACTACACGTGGACCACCAAAAAAGCTAAAAAGTGTAAATTCTCATGATGCAGTAGAGAGTATTCACAAGCCCCTCATGGCATAGATGATAATACAGCACAAGGATAAAAGATAAACTTTAAGAGATTTAAGAGAAAAGATAAAGATAAGAAAAAACTGTCCAAAGTGTCTTCTGGAGAGGTCCCGCCCAAACCTACCAAAGTCGAACCCACAGCGGTTTGCACACACATATAAACGGGACAGCGCCATGTGAAAAGAACTGGAAAGGTGACAAATAACTTAGCTCCAAACACATCCAAAAGGGATTTACCAAGGAAAAAAAGAGGGGGAACCACTTCCGGGTCATTTGCCTAGAGGCATGGTAGTAGTGCGAGCACAAGCCAGGTTGCATCAGCCATGTATGGGGCTTGATGGCCAGCTTAAGGCTCCATGTACACTGCAGCTGATAAACTCACGTTTAGGAGCTTTTCTGCGTTTTTTTTCAGCAGCCCCTGAAGTCTCCCTAATGTTTTCCTATGTGTCAATGTACACATCATCGTTTACAGGCTGTTGAGTTTACAGTCATTTTTTTGAACACACCAATCTTGCGTTCAGGAGTAGATTTTATCAGCGTTTCAAAAGCCAAACGCTTGTCAATGTGGCTAACCGCGTTTAAAGGCGTTTGCATTTGAAACATTTTTTTAACTCTTCCATTTCCAGATGCTGTCCAGAGCCTTTTTTCATCATGGAAAATGCATGCAAAGCGTTTTCCCGGTACTCAAATGGACCGGTACACCATACTTTGAGGTTTTGCATGAAAGAAAATATGTTAGATACCGCTGCAATAATTTATGCACAGAAATGAGCTGGAACACATCCAAACACAAAAAGAAAACAAAAAGACAGCTAATCTCAACAAATACTGCTCTCTCTGCTTCTGCTCTCTCTATTTCTCTCAAAATATCTGAAATAGTTAATTTTTTACTGTTTTTCAGTGCATTCTGGGCATTTTGGAAGGTCTCCAGAGGTTATCTTTAAAATACGCTTCTAAAACGCAAACGCTCATAAACGCGGTATGCAAACGCAGGTAAACAGACGTTTTTTAAGCTACGTTTTCCAGCAGTCATTTTCTATCTTTCAGAAGTGTCCCATGTACATAGAGCCTAAATACACCACAGGAGACTTGAAATCGCTCTGTGCCTTCAAAGTCCCACCCAGTAGAGGACCTTTGTCTATACTTCTAGGGGTGTTGGCTCCCCTTGCATTGTATCCCGCCCAGGGGTGGACTGACAACTCATGGGCCCCCGGGCAATAGGGGATCATGGGGCCCCTGTGTCCTTGTCCACACTCAAACCACACCCAAAAAAAGCCTATGAAAGGTACCAGGGGCATCTCATGGGGCCCCCTACTGACCCTGGGCCCTCGGGCAGTGGCCGAGCACCCGAATGGTCAGTCCGCCCCTGTTCCCGCCCTCTCCGTTTGTATTTGCTCAGGTTATCTTTGTGTGTGTGTGTGTATATACAAATACATAAGGTGTATTTGTAGGCAGATTGTATACCTTTGTGTATATATGAGAATGAGGACATTGTTGCATATGAATGAGGCCAAAATCTGAGACTCCTGTGACACTTCTTAGAAACCCCTTTCCCTCTCTAGGGGCCAAACAAAGAAAATGTAAGTAAATCAGTTTTTAAAAAGACAGTGAAAGTGAGTCCTACTTACATAACCGGATCGCTAGATGGACAAACCTGACAAAATCAGTCGTACAGATTATGATGCCAGTCACTTAGAACTCTTTGGGGGTGATTCAGATGACTGACTCTTCAATATATAAGACTGGCCACAGAATATTGAAGTGAGTATTCTTCACCGTTTCAATCTTCCTATCCTATTTCTTCTTTTCTAGTTATATTCTGCTGTTGCTTGTAGCTGGAGTATGGCACAATGATTTAAACCTTTCTATAATCTTGTTGTTTTTCTTTCACAGATGAGTATTGATCCTGGAGCAGGACATCGCTCAGAAGTTGAAGGGCTACATTCTACACAAGGTACAAACCTGCCACCTAGATTCATACGTACCGTGCAGTCTACCAGAGATCGAAACCTGTGTACCAGTGCAACTTACGCAAGACAAAAGAGAAAATATATTCACTAAAGCAAATCAGAAGGGAAACAAAAAAAAACAAAACTGACATCTAATAGAACCTTCAGAAATCCCCAAATCTTAGTCCTCATGCACACTGGACGTTATAAAAACGCCAGTAGCGTTCGCTGTAGAATGCTGCAATAAAAACGTTTTTTTGTGGTTTTTTTAGCTGTTTTGCATTAGCTTTTTTCAGCGTTTTTTCAGCGTTTGTGTTTTTTTAGCAAGTTATACTTCCACAAAATCTTCAGGCTCCAAAGTGCTCATAAACGCAGGATAGCCGAGTTTTTTAGCTTTTTTTGCAGCTTTTATCTGCATTTTTCAGCTTTTATCACAGTTAGAGCTTTTTTACCGATAATAAACTCCTCTTGAAACCCACTAGTTCTGGGTTTTTTTTCCAGCCAAAAAAAGTCACAGCCACAAAACGCTGATTACAGTCTATGTGTGCATGGACACATAGGTTAAACTGGATCTGTAGAAAAAAAAGTCAAAAGCCAAAAAATGTGCATAAGGACTAACAGTTCATACTCTTTTAGTAAACTTTGCAATAATAAAACAGGGATTTGTAGTTCAAACATATTTCAATGCATGTTTAACCACCTTCCGCCCGCCTATAGTACAATGATGGGCGCAAGGTGGTTCTCTCGTTCTGATAGGATGTCATATGACGTCCTTCCATTCTCACCACGCATGTGCGGCTCAGGGAGCGCGCAGTGCGGCGATCGCTGGTGCACTGTGTCCCTCGGACACAGCGGATCACGGAAAGAGCCGAAGATGTCGTCTCAGTCATGTGATCAGCTGTGTCCAATCACAGCTGATCACATGTAAACACGGAAATGCTGGTTATCGGGATTTCTCTCCTCTCAAGCTGTCACGCTGACAGCTCGAGAGGAGAGGAGAGCCGGTAATCGGCTTTCCGCGGAGGAGACATGTACACTGATCATCAGGGCACTGATGATCAGTGTGCCCTGATGATCAATGTGGCCCCAGAAGTGCCACCTATCAGTGCCCATCAGTGCCAGCAGTCAGTGCCACCTGCCAGTACCCATCAGTGCCACATCAATGCCACATATCAGTGCATACTAGTGCACATCAATGCCAAATGTCAGTGCCCATCTGAGCTGCCTTTCAATGTCACCCATCAGTGCCAGTCAGTGCCACCTATCAGTGCCAATCAGTGCCACCTATCAGTGCTGCCAATCAGTGCCACCTATCAGTGCCAGTCAGTGTCACCTATCAGTGCGCATCAGTGCAGCCTATCAGTGCCAGTCAGTGCCGCCTAACAGTGCCAGTCAGTGCCGCCTAACAGTGCCAGTCAGTGCCTATCAGTGCCAGTGAGTCCTGCCTAACAGTCCCAGTCAGTGCCGCCTATCAGTGCCAGTCAGTGCTGCCTATCAGTGCGCATATCAGTGCCATATATCAGTGTCATGTATCAGTGCTGCCTTTCAGTGCCCATCAGTGATGCCTGTCGATGCCCATCAGTGCAACCTACCAGTGCCTCCTCATCAGTGCCCATCAGTGCCACCTATCAGTGTCCATCAGTGCAGCCTATCAGTGCCCATCACTGCAACCTCATTAGCGCACATCAGTGAAGGAGAAAAATCACTTATTTACAAAATTGTATAACAAAAACTAAGAAAAAACTTTTTGTTTTCAAAATTTTCAGTGGTTTTTGGTTTGTTTAAGAAAAAATAAAAATCCCCGGGGTAATTAAATACCACCAAAAGAAAGCTCTATCTGTCTCAAAAAAATGATAAAAATTTTCATATAGGTACAGTGTTGCATGACCACGCGCAATTGTCATTCAAAAGTGTGACAGCGCTGAAAGCTGGAAATTGGCCTGGGCAGGAAGGGGGTATAAGTGCCCTATAGGCTAGTGGTCAAGCTGGCCAACATCAAAGTAACCCTCTATGGCCAGTCCTACTCTGCAAATGCTACGGTGGACACAATGCCAACATGGGCCAAACAGACGCAAAGTGGAGAAGACCTCCTAGTCCCAGGTCTGGCCACTGACAAGCTATTTGGGATTTGAGCACAGGTATATCTTATTTCTGTACCCTAGAAGCTCTCTCTCACTTTGTGTCTGTTTGCCCCATGTTGGCATTGTGTCTACTATAGCACTGTGTCCACAATAGCATTTGCATTTTCAAAGCAGAATAGGGACTGGCCATAGGGGGGAATATGTTGGCGCAGTTGGCCGGTGTAAATATGTATTGCAATATGTGTGCCCAAAAATTCCCTTTTTTTTTAATTTGCAAAGTTTGCTGGAAAGGGCATATAGCAGTGTGCAGAGGGTTCCTCCAGAATTTCTACTGAGTTATCACGTGACAGCTGATTGCTCAGTTTGCGGTCTTCACTCAGCACTGTCAGTCACCCACTCTGTGCTCTAACACTTCAGGGCTCACTCGAGTGCCGGGCTATGCTCAGGCTTCCAATGATACTCCAAGAGGGTAAGCCAGCTGCCAGTCAGTCACCTGGGTGGATCCCAACCTTAAAGTTGAGATCCCTGCAGAGACTCTGATGCCACGGGGCAAAATCTAGCTGTTAGCTGAATCTTGGTCACAGGAGTGCAGAAATAAGGGCACCCCTGTGACCCAGACAAGATGTATGGCCAAAAAAGCTTTGACCGTACTTCTCTTTTAATCTCTCCATACGTATGCATACACAAGCAATAAACCCTTTTACTATTTACCTCAATTTAAGCATTTAACAATAATATATACAATACATTGTTACTTAGCTTCAAATTAAGGACTTCAATCAATTCTAATGGATGATGAAAGCTTCTGCGATGATCAAGATGACCTTGGTTGGTCAGGGAGAACGATCATAATGGGTCCTTTTCTTCCAGTCTAGAGCTTGGTGTTCCCCAATACATGGCTGTGTGATCTCATTTCCTGCCCCCCTGCCCATCCCCATTTCCTGACAACATCATCTGCTTTTTAACCCCTTCATGACCAAGGTGAAAACAAACCTTAATGCCGAAACCCAGTTTTGCAATCTTGACATGTGTTAGTATAATTGTAGCACCCTCCTAGACAGGTGCTAGGATAAGTAGATCATAGTTAGTTCCTTTTCTTAACTGGAGAATTGCTAGGAAAATCTAACTAGGCTTTCTGCTTAACCACTTCCTGTCCGGACACTTTTACCCCCTTCCTGACCAGGGCAATTTTCAGATTTCAGCGCTATCACACTTTGAATGACAATTGCGCGGTCATGCAATACTGTACCCATATGAATTTTTTACGATTTTTTTGAGACAGATAAAGCTTTATTTTGGTGGTATTTATTCACCGCTGGGATTTTTTATTTTTTTTGCTATGTAAATGAAAAAGTTCCAAAAATTTTGAAAAAAAGTGTTTTTCTTATAAAATTTTGCAAATAAATAATTTTTCATCATAAATCTTGACCAAAATGTATTCCGTTATATTTTTAGTAAAAAAAAAAAAATAAGCCAAATTAGTTTGTAACCAAAAATTATCATTTTTAAACATTTTTTTACATTTTTATTTTATTTTTTTATATTATTATTTATGGGTTTTTTTTGTTTGTTTTTTTACATACTGTCACCCTAGCAGTACAGTGTCACCATGGTGACACTGTACTACTTGTGGGGGGTGATGAAGATTTTTTTTTTTACAGTGATTGCTTTTACACCCATATAGAATGTAAAAGCAATAATTTCTCCTTCTCTCTGGCTGCATTCTTGCAGTCATTGAGAAGTACTGAGTGAGCTGTGATTGGTCACAGCTTGTCACATGGTACAAGGCTGTTGTGAATAGCCTTGTACCATGTGACCTCTGTGATCATTTCACACGTAGTAAGCAATGATGTCACAAGTGACATCTTGCTTACTACTTTGCATGTGATCACTGATTGGCCAATCAGTGATCACATGATCGGAACCTCGTACAGAGGTCCCGTCCGACGATCGGTGTTTCACTGTGTCCGGAGGACACAGCGGCACTGGATCGCAGTGCTGCGCACTCCCAGGGAGCGCGCACAGCTAGAAAAGACGGGTGCCGTTTATGAACGGCAACCCGCCCCTGGAGTGCCACCGCCCTGACGTTTATAAACACCAGGCGGATGGCAAGTGGTTAACATAGAGCTGAAATTGTTAGTAGGGCGTGTTCAAGTGCAGCTAGGAAGGATCTGGATGTATAGGTAGAACTCAGTATGAATATTAATGCTACTCCAGACAATCCCAGGAAGTGCCCTGAGGCATGCTGGGAATGGGTATTTATTCTCTGGCATACTGAGCCCTGGGTCTTTCCTGGAGAGGATTGTACTATCCTGGGGGAAGACATGCTGCCTTCCCAGACACCTGCTGCCATGTGGCTTCAGGTGGGTGACCTGAGAGCATGAAATAAGACAGATAGTGACCCTGGTTCTCCAGTAAACTGACTGAGGGGAGCTGTCTGCCAAAGATCTGTGTAATATCACTGGAGGCCATCGCTTGGAAGATTGGAAGGATGCTACCATTCTGACCTTGGGCCTTGTGAGTACAGACACTGTGGGGGCTCTGTTTGCTTTGCTACCCCTTTGGTACTGTATAGTCAGTATGGGTCTGAAAAAGGGGACGCCGGCTGGTGTCCTGAACAGCACTTTCCATTTAACTACTTCCTGACATTGGGACTTTGCTCAAGGCTGCTCTTTAAGGAAGTTCTGTCCTCATTTGTAATTAGTTCTATTCCTGGAGTATCCTACTAAATTCCCCATCCCTATCCAAGTTATCCAATAATAAAAACAATAACACCTGGCTATGAAAATTCCTTGTGCTTTTCTGCGGGGCAAAATTAGGGAAGACCTGAAAATTACTACAGCGGCCCCTATGGGGGTAAGCGCTACATACTGTACATATCATTGCAACTACTTAATGTATCTACTGTATATGAATTATAGCGCATTTTTTTTCAGGACAGATTGGGCTTAAATTTGTTGGTAAATAGTAATGGACATTGACATCAACTGATACTTACACTGACACTGAATGACACTTACACTGACACTAACTGACACTTAATGACATTAACAATGACGTAGTGGCACTAACTGACACTAAATATCACTAACTGATACTTACACTGATACTGCCACTAATTGACACCAGCACTGACACTAACACTAACTTAGACTTGCCTACCAGGCACTTATACCCCCTTCCTTACCAGGCCAATTTTCAGCTTTCAGCGCTGCCGCACTTTGATTGACAATTGCGCCGTCATGCAACATTGTACCCATATGAAATTTTGATCATTTTTTTCTCACAAATAGAGCTTTCTTTTGGTGGTATTTAATCGCCACTGGGCGCTTTTACTTTTTGCGCTATAAATTAAAAAAATGTGCAAAAAATTTGAAAAAAAAAAAAAAAGTTTATTTGTTTCTTTTATAAAATTTTTCAAACAGGTATTTTTTCTTCTTCACTGATTTGCGTTGATGAGGCGGCACTGATGGGCACTGATAGGCGGCACTGATGGGCACTGATAGGCAGCACTAAAGGGCACTGATAGGCAGTACTAATGAGGTGGCACGGATAGGCGGCACTGATAGACAGCACTAATTAGGGGTCACGGATAGGCGGCACTGATATGCAGCACTGATAGGCGGCACTGATAGGTGACACTGATTATGGGTACTGATAGACGGCACTGACTGGCATCACTTCTGGGCACTGACTGGCGGTACTGACTGGCACAACCCCTGGGCACTGACTGGTGGCACTGACTGGCAGCACTGCTGGGCTGCACTGGTGGGCGGCACTGGTGGGCACCACTGGTGGGGTGGGCACAGGTGGGTGGCACTGGTGGGCACAGGTGGGTGGCACTGGTGGGCACAGGTGGGTGGGCACAGGTGGGTGGCACTGCTGGCACATGTAGGTGGCACTTCTGGGCACAGGTAGGTGGCACTGCAGAGTGGCACAGGTGGGGGCACTGCTGGGCACAGGTGGGGGCACTGCTGGGCACAGGTGGGGGGCACTGCTGGGCATGGGTGGGCGGGGCTAGTGGGCGCACTGCTGGGAGGAACTTGCGGGTGTCACTGCTGGGCACCGATCATCAGGGCACTGATCATCAGTGCCCTGATGATCGGTGCCGATGCCCGCTCTGACAACTGCCGGTTCTCGGCAGTACTTTCCTCACGATCTGACAGCGTGAGGAAAGTGCAGCCGAGAACCGGCACTTGCATTTTCCTGTGATCAGCGTGTCATTGGACACCGCTGATCACGTGGTAAAAGGCCGGTGGGATCGCCTTTCACCACATCTCGTGATCAGCTGTGTCCGTAGGACACAGCGATCACGGAGATCGCCGGGTGCGTGCCCCCTGGGGCGCGCAGGAGAGAGCGCGTTCTGGGAGGACGTCATATGACGTCCACCCAGAACTAGCCGGCCGCGGTGAAGCCGTCATTCGGCTATGCGCGGTCGGCAAGTGGTTAAAACTCACTAAACTAGATCAAGCCCTGGATTGGTTAATCTTTTGTCTTACAACAGACTTTTATCAGTGTATTTTTTCCTCTTTGCTAGAGAAGAAGATTGTTGTTTCTGCTCTTTAGACAGGAGAAACAACACTGGTGGGGGCATTACATATTACAGTCATAATAGTGATCACTGTGATTGGGTAATCATAGTGATCGCATGATCGGGGTCCAGTTTTACCAGTTCCCATTCATTAGTAAAAAAAAAAACCAGGGCTGTTACTGATGATGATGATGATGATGATAGATAAAGCTCATTTACTGGACACCGCACATACTGTATGTGTTATGCAGTCGTAAAGGGGTTAACCAGCCCCTTTTGAACCAACTGGGCAAGTTAATTAGCATTTAAATGGAAGCACAACTTCCTGCACATAATTAACTCTTTCTTCCAGATGAAAGCTAAAATGAATTATTCCATATATACAGTATACTATTGCTAAAATAGCCAAGCCAAAACACCAATCAGGCACACATGGTTGATATTTGCATATTAAAGCACACTATGATTTAGGGCACTCAGGGTTCTTGTAAAGGAGATGTATCCCTTCTCCCCTGGATTTGCATAGCAACAGTTTCTGATTGGAGAAAAATTATCCTCCAATCGAGACAAGCCCATCCAGCGCCCAGAGCAAAGATGCCAAACTCATAAAACAGGGAGTGCAGTGCTAAATCAAATATAAAACCTTTATCATAACAGAATATGTGACTGATTATCATGCCATCATGGCATCACCCCTACTGCAGACGTGTGTTTACACGAAACGCGTCTAGGAGGAGCCCTTGCACGCCTTGACGTCACGCCGCCGGATCAGGAGGTCCGGCGGCCCACACTTGATTTGTACTGGTCAGTGCTTGTTTGGGTGCTTCTTATGATTGCTAACAGCAGTCTCTTGTAACTTTTTTAGTTGCTTTTGTACATCAATGTTCTTATCTGATACAATAAATTTATTATTCATATTACTACAATATGAGCACCTTTATTCCCCATACCTGGCATTGAGCCTCCATACCTCAGCACCAGTATTTCAGGCACTGCTACAGACCTGAGGATTAAGCACCTTGTGATCTGACCTGTATCCTCCCCGAATACCACTGAGGGATCACCAGAGGATCTTGGCACCAGGCTGTTTCCACCCAGGACGCCAGGATGCATGTGATCTAGAAATGCGCAATGATATTGTGCTTCTGGTGAGTAGGCAATCTATTCATACCTCTACAACAGAAGATTGGATCATACTCACAGAGATTGATATTTTATGATGGACTACATAACTCTCTTATAAGGTAATATAAGTGAACTTATATCAGTCACATATTCTGTTATGATAAAGGTTTTATATTTGATTTAGCGCTGCACTCCCTGTTTTATGATTTTAGTAGAAAGGTCTTGTTGTTCCTTTTAGTGCATTGGTCGCTTTTTTGAGTGCGCTCACTGACTTACTGTATATATATTAAAGATGCCAAACTGTCCTCCCCTCTTCTGTGATGTGCATGCTCAGTGATCTTACCCATGCCCAACGTGCACGCCTGTTCATCTTACCCACAAATGGGTTTTGGTAACTCATGTTAATGCACACGCATTGCATGGCAATGCAACGGCTCCATGTGTGTTGCATTGTGATGCCATTCATTGTGAATGCTACTCCAACATATTATACAATAGAGAACATGCACCTCAGCACAGCACAATGCATACACCATGCGTTGTAGTGAACTGCATTTTTTAAAAATGGAGCATGCATATTTTTTCATCCATTGTGGAGCATTGGCAGACCATTTATACTGAATAGGCTGCCTTAACACACCACAATGGATCGCTTTGGTATGAATGGGCTTTTTGGACGTAGCCCACACATTCACCTAAAATCTCCAGCACCTACCAAAAGCTGAGTTATCAGTTTTGGGTACACTTAATTTTGTGAATGTTTATTGAAATGTTACATAGCATATTCTGCTGGATTCAGAGTAGGTCTAGCAAGTAATATTGAGAAAGGGGAAGGCCAGCCATTCCTGGGTGAGCAATTTAGTTCATATGTTATATTTACAGTCCTAAATGAACCTTGTGACTCAGCATTTAAATTGTTTACACATAGGCATAAAATATTAAATCTATGGCTGTAAAAACCTTACAGATCCTGTCTTTCAGTAATTTCATTTGTACGGCCGATAACACCTGCCTGGGAAGCACCATTAATGGAATACAGTTGTGTTATGAATTCATGCCCTCTACATCCTGGATAAGTTTTCAGAAAAATCTATTGTTTTAATATCATGCCCATGGCAAGCCTACATCTCTCTATTGCTTATTAAGCAAAAGGCCGCCACCAGCTAAACCTTCACTGACCCGAATCTATTAGTGGGAATTGAACTGAGCCAAAGACAGACATGATTGTACATATTCATGGCTTCAGCCTTTTATTATTCAACTACTTCTCAGTTACCACAATGTCTTATAATAACTGAACTGCACGTTGGATGTCAAGAACCATATAAAGACCAATGCTGAGGTTCATGATACCTAAGCTTAATGAACAATAGGAGAAGGTTTAATCTCCTCTTTTTCTCCTTTTGTAGATACATTATTCATTGATGGTACAAGGTGGGGCTCTCGTGAAAAACTCTTTTCAAAAAGGTCTTAAATTTTCTCAAGTCTGTAAATAGGCCTTATAAAAAGGATAGCAGCATATTTAATGCTTTACTAGAGAACTCCAATTAGACTGCAATAAAAAGTAATACTGCCTAAAGAGACACTGTCCTCTTTGCCCACTGAGGGCAAGGTGACATTGTCTCCTGATCGGGCTATCAGGGAACTCCCAGCAAGGTTTACTTACCAATCTGTGCTACTGCATTGCCTCCCCCATCATAGCAGGGTTTCTGGACATGAGTCTACCAGTCTATTCATAACATGTTACATGTTATACCCTTACAGTGGAGACAAGTTCCTTTTAATGGATGAATGAACTTTGAGAATAATGTGGGAAAAACACCAATCCTTTTAATGACATGCTTGGGAGATACCTTAAGCTGTATAAGACATCACATAATTTGGTTGTATAATATATTTTTTTCTACTTTTGTTTGGCTTTAATATACAGTGCCTTGAAAAAGTATTCATACCCTTTGAAATTTGTCGTGTATTTGTATTCGCCCCGAGACAATACTTTGTAGGACAGTGGTTCTTTTGGAGGTACTGAACCCCACCAGTTTCATATGCGCATTCACCGAACCCTTCTTAATTGGAAAAATCTTTTTAAAATTCAAAACATGGTATATATTTATACATAGGTACACAAAAGGAACAAAACCATTAAGAACAAAGAACAAAACCATTAAAACATGATTTTCACACAAAAACAAAATTGAATATTTACCGCAAATCAGTGTGACTTCTGCTGTTGTCTTTGACAGTTCAGAAATGCGCGGCATTACCTTGGAAGTGCCACTCTTGTCATTTTCGCAAAACAAAGTCTGTTCCTTTTCTTCGTCTTTATGTCCCATCCTCGAAAAGGATTGCTCGCAAAGATATGTTTAACAAACTTCATCCCCCATAGTAAATCCCCATATAGTAATTCATCCCCCATATAGCTCATCCCCCATATAGTAATTCATCCCCCTTTTAGATAATTCATCCCTCATAGTAATTCATCCCCCAATATCAAGTAATTGCCCCCATATAGTAATTCATCCCCCATAGTAATTCATCCCCCATATAGTAATTCATCCCCCATATAGTAATTCATCCCCCCTATAGTAATTCCTTCCCCATATAGTAATTCATTATCCCCCATAGTAATTCATCCCCATATGTAATTCATCCCCCATAGTAATACATCCCCCATATAGTAATTCATCCCCCATATAGTAATTCATCCCCCATATAGTAATACATCCCCCATATGTAATTCATTTAATAATTCATCCCCCATATAGTAATTCATCCCCCATAGTAATACATCCCCCATATAGTAATTCATCCCCCATATAATTTCATCCCCCATATAGTAATTCATCCCCCCTTAGTAATTCATTCCCCATATTAATTCATCCCCCATATTTGTCCCCAAGTCCCCCCTGTGTCAATTCACTTACCTTTGGGCGTTCCTCTCGCTGTATTCCAGCGCCGTTCCGGTCTTCAGGGCGGACTGTGAGAGGAGCCTAGCTCCTCTCATGTTCGTCACGCTGCCCCGCCTACACACATCCTGACAGCCAATCACTGGCTATCAGGATGTGAGTGGCAGCGAGACTGGCCAATCATTGCATTTGAGTCCCTGCCGCCCGAGAGGAGGGAGGGGAGCGGGGCGCCCGGCACAGCCGCGGCTTGCCGACCACTGGGCATGTCATCACAAATCATATGAGTCGGTGTGTGGGTCACCTTGACTCACCGAACCCCTGGGGTTCGATCGAACCCAGGTTAAGAACCACTGTTGTAGGACCACCTTTCGCTGCAGTTACAGCTGCAAGTCTTTTTGCGGATGTCTCTACCAGCTTTGCACATTTAGAGAGTGAAATTTTTGCCCATTCT